GCACTCGCCCAGCGTGAGTTTTAAGCCACCGGGTCCAGGACGCGAACCGCGGTCAACTACGTGGGAGTCCAGCGACATAGCCATTACGCTAACTGCTGGTCCCATGTCCTTAGTGTTCTTATTCATTCACTGATCAAGCAAGCATTGACTGGGTACCTACTGTGTTCTACACTCTGCTGGGGTGAGGTGCAGAGCTGAAGAAAACACTACCTCAGGAAGTTCACAGTGAGACAAGGAGGAAAGAGCTAAGTGGGTGGTGGCTATAAAACTGGATGAGGGCTGGGACCAGCAGTTAGCGTAATGGCTATGTCGCTGGACTCCCATGTAGTCGACCGCGGTTCGCGTCCTGGATCCGGTGGCTTAAAACTCACGCCAGGCGCGTGTGCATGTGTGCCCAAGATCCCAAGAGGAGAATGGAGGAGAAGGAATTGTGGCATGGCCATCCCCCCCTGGGGAGTGATTTCTCGTTTTCTGTCTCTCTGTCTCTCTCTGTCTGTCTGGCAAGCGCAAGCGCCCTATAGCAAAAACCTCTCAAAAAAAATAAAACAAAAACAAAAACAAAAACAAAAAAAACTGAATGAGTGCTGAAAAGAGTGGAGCAGAGCCCTGTGGGAGCTCAGAGGACTGACCTGTGCCTGGAGGTCAGTGACGGACTCAGAGGAGGGTGCCTAGGGATCTTGGAAGAGTCTTCCTTAGGGTCCACCTGGATTCTTGCTTTGTGTTTACCTCTGACGATTTTAGTGGGATTCCCTGACTCCTCCTTCCCCTTCTCTCCTATTGAGCCTTGAGAATCATACCTCACGCTTGCACAGGGCCTTCTGTTTGGATCTCAGCCCAGGGAGAAGTGACGTTAACACAGAGGTCCCCAAGTGGAGTTCTCTGCAGAGGTTTCACCTGTGTGCACAGTTGCCCAGCCTCCTCCTCCTCTGCTTTTCAGTCCCTCAACACTTCCTCGGGCGGTCCCCACGAGCAGTATGTGCTGGTAAATATTTCATAGCTGGCTTGGGGAGGAGCCTGAAGGGGTGAGGGAGCACTGATTTGTAGCATTTACCAATTTCTGTGATGTAAATATTCCCACCATGGCCACTGTCTACTCTGCCAGGTAGAAAAGAGGCCTTCCAGATAGAACCAGAATCCAAATTCTGACCAGTGGCTCCTGCTGTAATACTCGGTCATCACATGGGCTCAGACACACCAAGGCTCAAATCATGTGCATTAGGACAACGGTTCCTAACCTTCCTGGCACCAGGGACTGACCTCGTGGAAAACGATCCCTCCACGAACTCAGGGGGCAGGGAGGAAGGGTGATGGTCCCAGGATAACTCAAGCACATCCCATCCACTGTGCAACCCCATCCACCATGCACCCCACTTCCTCCATGCACCCTATTTCCACCACTAACACATCTCAATATACAATGAAACAATCACACAGTAGGGTTCAAGCTCCCATGAAAATCAATACTGCCACCCATCCAATAGGAAGTAGAGCCCAGAGAGTGATGCAAGCAATAGGGAGTGACGGCGAACACAGACTAAGCCTTGTTCTCTCGCCCACCACCCACCTGCTGTGGTCTGGCCCCCAACAGGCTACAGACTGGCACCAGCCCATGGCCCGGAGTTTGGGGACTCCTGCCTTAGGGCATGACTGGTCGCCATTCTATTGTCCAATCCAATGCAACCCATCTACAGAGGCTGGCTTTGTGCTGGGCCCCAGAACCAACTTTGTGCTAAGCAGAGAGGAATTGTGCCTGACTTCTGAGTGCTGCTGTACTTCAATTTACAGATCTCAGCCTTACCGTGACTATTTTATCTACAGCCATGGCCTGGTCAACGCACTAGTGGGCATGGGGCCAAAGAGGTTCAAGAGGCATCCAGGGGCACCAGGACCAGTCATGCAAGGAGGCTCCTTCCTTCCTCCTCTGCACACTTCCACATTTTGTCATTTTCAACCGTATCAGTTCTTTCCCCTTACTTTTGTGTCATTGGTATCTTCTATGGTCTCCATCTCTAATAAAAGAGAAAGCAGAGAAGGTGGACTGCTTTCCTTTCTCCATCTTTCTCCTCTGCTCTTGACTTCTCAGCCAGAAAGGTTAGGAAGGGGAGGAAACTTGAAGTAGGAGTATCCTGAATTTGCCAAGACACACCTTGGAGTCTACATGGCTTTGCCATTAAGGTCAGATCACTCTAAGGTAGGTTAGACTCCATTCCACACCTGCAAACAAAAGCCATAGCATCCCCCTCCCAGTGACTGAGCCAATGCAAATACACAGGCTGCCTTTCAGATCCATGAAGCTCCCAATGGCCTCCTTCCAGCAAAGAAATGAAAAGTACCCAACTCCTTTGCTGCAAGAGGATCTAACACCCCCCTCCCCCAGAATTGTGTCTTATTTTGGGCTTACTGAGTATATCTTTTGGTTTCTCTGTTGGTGGTACCCTCCCCCCACTCCCCGCCCCTGTGAAACAAGAATTGTCTGATAGACTGTCATAATATTCTCCATCCACCCTCCCTATAGAGTTTTTCTGGAGTGCATAGTGCTCTGAGGTTGGTGAGCCTTAGATCAAGTAGCTATACCTGATCTCAGGGGAGTCAGTTTCACTCAGCTTCACTCTTCTCACATTCAAAACGAGAAAGTTGGACTCAGTGATCTCAACACCAGTTCTAAAAATAATGTGATTAAGTCCTAAGAAAAAATATGTAGGGTCGAACAAGATCTGTGTTTTATTCATTAATTTCAGGTTGGGATCAGAAAAGGAGATCGACAATAAGAACAAGCATTGCTGTCAATGATAATAACAATAATAATAATAGTCCCATTTAATGGGATAATTTCCTTAGTCTAAGGAAAATGAAGCTAAGGATCAGAGTGGTTAAGTTAATTTCCTGCGGTTGCAAAGTTAATTAGTAAGCCAAAGATTCGAACGCTGGTCTCTTTGATTCCAGCATCTTCACTTCGATTTACGTTGTCGCATTTATCTAGTCTCCATGACTTCTCTCTTTTCCACCACAGCCCTAAGCATCAAGAGCTGCGATTTGCAGGCAGCAAGAAACAATGAGGAACACCACACCAAGGCCCTCAGCTCCAAGCGCCTCTTTTTGAGGAGGGGGCAGTCTTTCACCATCGTCCTGCACTTCCATGTTCCAGTCCACAAGTTTCTGCTGGCCTTGAAGAAAGTGGCCCTCATTGCACAAACTGGTAAGTGGGATAGGCCTACCCTCCTCTGGCAGCAGGACTGGGGGAGTGTCTCCATCACCCTGACAGAGACCCAAGGGGCCAATGCCTCACACTGCAGCTGGGCCTTAAGAAGTCCTGCCCACTCACCGGCAGGGCTGTGTGAGGATGCCATGAGATAATCTGTACAATAAATACTGTTTCCTATGACTCAGAACTGGCTCAGCAGCGTTATCACTAAGGAGTCACTTCTGGTTACAAATATATCAGCTTTGTACAAAATTCTAAATGGGATCTAAGCCAGGTTAAATACAAGGGGGGAGGACTTCAAAAAGTTCATGGAAGATGGAATTTATGAGTTTATTTTTATGCAACAGAATTCTGAAATCTGTGCATAGTTTTTTCTGTAATACACACTTTCTGTGAACTTTTGGAAAACGCCTCATGTTATATTTCATTGCTACTGTTTATTGAATCCATACAAGTCAGAAATTGGACGGGTACTTTACATGCAGTGTCTCGTTGGGTCTGCACTTTTCATCCTACAGGTACCGTGATTGTGACTATTTTACAGACCGTGAAACGTTTATAGAGGTAGGGCTGTGGGCAATATATGGACCTTTTCTAGTTGTGGGGCCAAGAGCCTGTGCTTTCCCATCCCCTTTACAGCTTCCCATTACCGGAGAGGCCTATTTCAATCTTCTCCAAAACTGATTTTTACCACTCCATCTTTGTAATACCCTGACCTTACTACTGCGGGTTGTGACTAAGAAGTTGACATGACTAATTCGTTGCCATGTGACTGCAGGAGAGCAGCCATCCACGACCAACAGAACCCAAGCCATATTCCCGATTTCCAGTCTGGGGGACCGAAAAGGGTGGAGTGCCGTCGTGGAGGAGAGAGATGTCCAGTCCTGGACCATCTCTGTGACCACGCCCGTGGACGCCATCATTGGCCACTACTCCCTCTTGCTGCAGGTCTTGGGCAAGAAGCAACGTCTCTTGGGCCAGTTCACACTGCTCTTTAACCCCTGGGAAAGAGGTAAGTTTGGACCTGGGCCAGCCTGGGCTGCAAGGGATTTAAGGCACCAGAGCTGGGCATGGCTCTGTCGGGAGCCCCTGCCCAGGCCCCACAGGCAGCTCCCTCTAAGGGCAGACCAGCACTCAGTTACGGTGGTGCTCTCTCCATGGATGAACCGGCTCTCAGACCCAGGGTCCTGTCTTGGTGTTGCTCGTGGCAGAAGCAGTCTGGGACTTCCCACTGAGAATGAAGACTCATCTCACCACCAAACCCTGGTGCGACTCAAGCTATTTTGGTCAGAGTTGAGACTCACTGAGATGACCTTTGGAGTGCCATCTTATATTGTAACAGTACAGGGACAGGAACCAAAAAGGGTTTCAGGGATGAGGTAAACTTCTCTCTCCCTCCAGCCTCCTCTAGTCTGTCTCCAGGGTGCTTTGAGGTTTTGTGGGGCCTGAAGCTTATGTAATTTAGGGGACCCTCTTAAGAAAAAAAATAAGGCAGCTGACAAGTAGTGTGGTAAGGGTGCTGGACTCCCACATGGTCAACAGCAGTTCAAGTCCTAGACCTGGTGGCTTGCTTTCTCACTTTCTCTCTCTCACTCAGTCACCCTGTTCCTCTCTGGTCAAATTAAAATAAATAAATACATAGTTAAATAAAATAAATTTTTAAAAAATAGGGCCAACAGACGGTGTGGTTAAGGCACTGAATTCCCACAAGGCTAACTGGTTTTAATACTGGATCTGGCAGCTTGATTTTTCACTTTCTCTTTCACTCTTTCTCTCTGCTGAGTTCATGTGCTGCTCTATAGTGAATTTAATAATAACAATAAATAAAATTAAATTAATAATTTTTTTTTTTGGAGAGATTTTCACTGTAGGGCGCGTGCGCTCACCAGACAGACAGAGAGAGACATAGAGACAGAAAGCGAGAAATCACCCCCCAGGGGGGATGGTCACGCCGCAATCCCTTCTCCTCCATTCTCCTCTCGGGATCTTGGGCACGCACGCACACGCGCCCGGCGTGAGTTTTAAGCCACCGGGTCCGGGACACGAACCGCGGTCGACTACGTGGGAGTCCAGCGACATAGCCATTACGCTAACTGCTGGTTCCCAATAATTTTTTTTTAAGAAAAAGAAACCCCAAGAGGAGAATGGAGAAGGGATCGTGACATGGCCATCCTCCCTACGGCAGTGATTTCTCGCTTTCTGTCTCTCTGTCTCTATCTCTCCAGTGAGAACATGTGCTCTATAACAAAAACCTCTCAAAAAATAAAAAGAAAGAAAAGAAAAGGAAAGGAAAAATAAACTGCAATTCCTTTAAAAAATAGAAAAAGAAAAAGAATACACAGGAGTCAGAAGGTATAGCACAGTGGTAAAACAAGACACAGTGGGAGGCTGACCCACATGGGAAGGCTCCGAGTTTGCATCCAGAGACCCCTTGAGGATGCTGGGCATGTGCATTCCCACGGTCCCAGGTAGCTGTGGCTGGGAGATAAATTATGGTGTCAAGACATTTTTGGGGGTGCTGCCTTTTCTCTGTCTCTCTCTATATTCCTCTTACCTGTGGAAGAAATAAATTTACCAAAAAAAGAAAAAAAAATACACAATTTTGACTTGCTAAGGCACTCTAAGAGGGTCTGAAGAACTGTGTCTGTTCGGGTCCCCAAACTTCAGTTTCATCAGCTTAACAGTAAACCTCCTCTGTTTGGCTATCTTTGCCTCTCTCCTCTTTTCCTTCTGTTCTTACTGCAGATCCTAGGTCCTCTCCATACTGACCTGCTCAAATATCTGACTGGCTGCCTTTCTCTGTGGTGCCTGAGTTCCAGTGAGCACTGACTGTCTCTCTACTCCCCTTGCCCACGGTGGAGTTTTCCAATCCCCCTATTTCAAATGGCTCTGCGTGTCCTCAGATCAGGCCTCCTCTACCCTAAGAGGTCCCCAGACAGAACAATAAATGGGAATTAGAGTTTTTCCAGGTGCCCCGTGTCCCACGTAGTCAATTTGGGTTCAGGGCCCTTCAGCTGGGGGTGCCATGGCTCTCCATACACTGACAGAAAAACCTTCAAGTCATTTCCCTCTGAAGCTGAGGCTTTTGATGTACCCCCTACTGTCTCTGAACCCACATCCAGAATTAGACCCTGACAGCCAAAGAAAGACATGACAAAGACAGTTCTAGGATAGTGTTCAGTTCAGAGAGAGCCCAGTCTTGAGCTGGTGCCTTCCTGCTCAGCTGGTAGCTACCTGCCCAGGGAAGGTCCCTCTGTGTGAGTGTGTGTGGAGGTAGCTGTCTTTGGCTCTGCTCCAAAGGGGATTAAGAGATTTTCAGAGATTCTTGGGGACCAGCAGATGGGAGTAATGGTTACATCACTGGACTCCCATGTAGTCAACCACGGTTCGAGTCCCAGACCCGGTGGCTTAAACTCAAATCAGGCATGTATGCGTGCATTCCCAAAATCCCGAAAGGAGAATGGAGGAGAAGGGATTGTGGTGTGGCCATCCCCCCTGGGGGGTGATTTCTCACTTTCTCTGTCTCTTTGGCAAGTGCATGTACCCTATAGCAAGAATCTCTCTGAAAAAGGGGGAGAGGATTTTCAGAGAGTTTCTGACATCTCAGTCTCATTTTATCATACTTGGAGATGAGATTTTGTTGGATTCAAATTCAATGTTATGTAAACTTCACATAACATTGTAAGAATCAGACCCTCTAGTCATCAACTGCGAACTTTATGAAAGGAGGCTGCACCAAGGCAGGGAAGAGGAGGTTGGTGCTACTGGTGCTCTCATACTGTGCTGCTCAGAGTCCTGCATCTCCTGGGCGCCAACTCTCCAGTCAGAATTGATTCCTCTGTGGGCCAGGAAGTAACATAGTGGTTATGGTGCTATACTCTCATAAGGCCGACTGCAGTTCAAGTCCCAGATCCGATAGCTTAAAAATCACACCAGGTGCTTGCTCCATCAAAATCCCAGGAGAGGGGCCAGCAGGTGGTGTGGTGGATAAGGGTGCTGGATTCCCACATGGCCGACCATGGTTCAAGTCCTGGACCTGGTGGCTTGCTTTCTCACTTTCCCTTTCTCTCTCTCTCTCTCTCTCTGGTGGTCAAATAAAAACAAAACAAAACAAACAAAAACTAACGATAACAAATGGAATTTAAAAAATAAGTAATTGTTAAAAAAAAAAATCCCAGGAGAAGAATGAAGGAAAAGGGATTGTGGCACAGTCATCCCCCCAGGGAGTGATTTACCACTTTCCCTCTCACTATTTCTCTCTGGCGAATGCATACGCCTTATGACAAAACCCTTAAAAATAAATAAAGAAGAAGAAAAGAAGAAATAATGTCTTGCTGACTTCATAGAGAGAATTAGGATGGAAGGCCAGGCGTCAAGGACTTCTTGGCATATGGTTCCATGACCTGAGACCCCAGAGTGTTCAGGGCTTCCTGGTTTCTGATATTCCATCCTCCTGTTGCCTTGAATCCCCTCATCCCAGCTGGCTGCCTGGAGAGCCCTGGAGAGCTGTAGTCTGGCAGCCCTCTGGACAGTCTGGACATCCTTTTCCTGGTCCCCAGGAACTCATCCAACCAACCCTCACCCACCAGGGCAGAGTCAGTCCCACCACCACCATCACCACCACCCCCCACTCCTCATTTTCCAGAGTGGGCCATGGCCTCCTTAAAAGTTGCCCACCTTTGGGGCTGGCAGGTGGCATGGTGATTAAGTCACTGGACTCCCACATGGTCGACCGTGGTTCGAATCCTGGACCTGGCAGCTTTCTTTCTTGTTCTCCATCTCTCTCTGATCAAATTAATTAATAATAATAATAAATAAATAAAATTAAATAAATATTTTTTAAAAAGTTGCCCACCTTCCTCATGGTGCCCAGCCCAGCCTTTTGATGGGGCAAGTAGGAGGGTTGCTGCAAAGAGATCGTGGTAGTCCTAGACCCACCTGGATAGCCCCCAGGGCAGAAATCAGTGTTCTAACTTCTACTTCCCCAATCCCACTGCTCCTTCCAACACTAACAGTCAAGTTCTCCTCTTCCCTCTGCTCACTTCTGTCAATCTATTCTTTTTTCTGAAAAAGAAGAACTTTTATTGGCCAGATTGAACTTGTAAGGTCATTGGGAAGCTCCCTGGGCTGTGGCCAATTTCTTCTGAGCTGGTAGGGTTCTGGCAGATAAAATTTTTTGG